GCTTTTTCTAATAATATATTACCAAAACATGACAGTATTTTTGTTTTACTTTTCATTATTAATGATGCTTACTACTTTTGCTATTATGTTTTCATAATAGCTATGTAAATACTTGATTTTTCTGGGTTCATAAGGACTGTCCAGTATTATGTTTGAACTGCTAGCACAGTGAAGAAATGTGTAAATCAAAACAATATAATTTTCTTTGGAAAAGAGAAAACAAAAACCCCAACAATGGTTGAACTTACATTTAACTAATTAATCCTCACAATGATTTTTAAAACTTTCTTTTATTCAGACTATTTGGTGTCATTATACTCATATAATTTTGCTTTTTTACCTGTTCAGTGAATTTTATGAAATTTTCAGGGGAAGAAAATAGACTAACTGCTGAAGTAAAGTGACACAGTGTTTCAACTACAAGTAGATACAGACTCTTAACTCACTTCTGTAAAGTATGTCAATTCATTGAAAAGCTGTCTTTTGCATGCAGTAGGTGAATGTGAGCATACGGTGATGTACAAAACGCTAATGATATATTTTTTTTCCTCTTTTCTTTTGATATAGCACCATTGAACCTCTATATTTCACCTACGGAATCTTATTTGCTTGTGGCTGCTCATTTGCATACCAGCCATCCTTGGTCATTCTTGGGCACTATTTCAAGAAACGTCTTGGACTAGTAAATGGCATTGTCACTGCAGGCAGCAGCTTGTTCACAGTGTCACTGCCCTTCCTCTTGAGAGTTTTGATTGATTCTGTTGGACTATGCAACACCTTGCGGGTCCTGTGCATCCTTATGTTTATTCTGTTCCTGGCTGGCTTTACATACAAACCCCTTGTTTCCAACGACAAAGACAAGGAGGGAGGAAAGAAGGGAAAGTTCAGATTTCCTTCTGAAAAAAAGATTTGCAATTTCTCCGTTTTCAAAGTTGTCAGTTACCGAATCTGGGCTTTTGGGATCCCAGCTGCGCTTTTTGGATACTTTGTGCCTTACGTTCACTTGGTAAGTGCATGTTTCTTCCTACATATGATATATGTAGACCCCCCCCCGATTGGCACAAATTCTGATTGCGAAATACAGCTCCAGTAGAGGAAAACAACTTGATCATGGCTGTTTCTAATATATTGTTTGATAACACTATAAAACTATTCCAAAGTATAGTTAGAATCCAATATTTTAAAGATTACCTCAAAATTATACGAAGAGATTTAAATTCCAGCTTTTTTCCCCCCCTGAATTTCAGAGGAACCATGAAGCTTAACTATTTATAAGATCAGATCTTCATCTTGACCATACTCTGAAATATTTAAAGCTGAAACTAAACTTTGATCAGTGAGTATGATAGGGATGGTAAGATACAGTATGAATTGGAATAGAATTTCATGTGTCTGTTACTGATATGATAAAGTTACGTATCTACCATCAGTGTCAGATTTCTGTTTTCTTATGTACATGGTCCATTAAGTACTATGTAAATGCTCACTAATCTTTCAGAAAACTTGACATACAATTATTTTGATAAAATAATCCCTATCTTTACCGATGTTGAAATGGAAAATTAAAACTTGAATTTCATAAATGACAGTATTTCCACTTTCAGAATGTAATAAGATTTTTCTAACCTTCAGTCTTGGATAAGTGATCAGGATGAAAAGAGTTTAATACCTGCAGGTCATGTATTTAAGATTATTTTAGAATTATTTTGTATGTGATTGCCAAGGATGGATGTATCCTCAGTAGCAGAAATCTTTGTAACAGAAAGCAGACATTCCAATTGCTGGGTTGGAGGATGCAGTTGTAGGACTAACAGTAAACTTGTTGCTTGGGGCTTAAAGAATGATGTGTTCTCGCAGCTAAACCCACCGTTTCTGTAACTATTTCTATATAAGCCTAAGCTCATTCAAGAATTTAGGTCTAAGTGTTTACAACTAAGAACTAGAACTTAGAATTTAGAACTAAGTAAACACTCATCTCTAACTCAAATGTAATAATTCAAAAAGGAGGGAATTGAAAGAGGTATTTATTTTTATGAAAACATGAATAAGTGAAGAACCATAGCACTTATTGCTGGTGGGCAATGAGGGGGACTATTTAAAACCTTAGAAAATCTCTGAATCTGTATTTGAGAAAGTGAATATCTTTGTTTATCAGTGTTTATGAAGGAGCAGTGTGGATTCTGCTCTTTAACACAGATACTTCAACTCCAGTAGATAGCTCTGGACTTTTCTTTATCCCAGTTTTGTCTGCTTTTGATAGAAATCCACATTTTATGTACTTCCAGATAAGTCAAAGGCTGTAAGACCAAACAATTTTTTGCTGGTATATCTACCAAACCAGTGATTACTTTCCTCAGCTTTTGAAAATTTGATTGTTTAATGCATTTTTAAAATGGATATGATACTTGGATAAGTGACAGCTTTTGTTATGCTAAAACTCTTGAAATTTTCACACCATTATGGCTGGCTGACAATAGTCAGACTGCTAGAGTGTGGTGCTGGTTGCAAGTGCCCTAAGAAAAAACACTTATACAGGGAGCCTCATCCCTACAGCTCTTCTTCCCTTAGCCCTCAGACCTGGTTCCTGTCCTTAGCAAGTCTTATTTTTCGCACCTGGAAGGGCATTTTCTGCCAGAGTGTTGGGTGCAACACAGGTGCCACAGGCCCTACTGGTTAGGGTCATTGTGTCTCATTGCTCAGGTCCGTGGTAACGGGTGGTTGCAGATTTGGTGTGGTCTAGTCACTTCACATCAGCTGTTGTCTGCCGGCTTGGCACAGCAGAGAAGCTCCTAATGTCCCAGGCAAGGTCTCTTGAGTGCTTTTGAGGCCAGCCCTGATTTCTGTTTGTGTCTCCTGTGTTTTCTAAAACATACTGAAAAGGAGGATGCGTGTTGTGAAACTTGTCGCAAGAAAGAAATAAAGCTCATTTTGGGCTTTGGAATAATGGAATTGTCCAGGTCTTTGCAATTTTAACCATCTGCACTGTATTTGCTAGATAAGAGTAAAAGCTGTTAAAACCAGAGAAAATAATCTGCTCATGAAGTAGGCTCTAACTAAAAATAAACAAATCAACAAATTAATTATATGGCATGTTAGATAGGATTCATATCAAGGAGCTAGCAAGAATTACCATTCCCTGACTGGTAAATATCAGCTTCATGCGAAAGAAGTATCGTATTCCTTTTGGCTCTTGCAGGGGTTTAATTGGTGTCAGATTCCATTAGTAGGTGTTCCATTCCATGTGATTTTGGGGAATTGGGTTGGAAGAAATACTATAAATAGGTTTTGACTTAATTTTTATATACATTTAGCATTAATTCAGATTGAAGAACAAACTGATAATTCTTATGATTATTAAATCAAATGGTTGTTATTCCTCTCAATTTTAACACCAGTCTAAATTGCAGTGATTGAATGTTTTAACCTTTGATGTTTCCCTAAAATAAGCAAATAGCCAAATAAAAACCCTAGTTTAGTCTATTCAGGTTTAAATTATGAGTTCACAACAGAAATCAGTCAGATTAATGCAAAACACTCTTTCCAAATTGCTTTTAATAAGGACTGTCTCACAAGGAAATGATTAAATATGTTTGAAAAAAGTATACCTAGCCTCTGTGCCACTTGTCCTGTGCTTGCTCTGCTAATACACAGAGAGCTTCTGTTTTTCAGGAATCACAAGTCTAATGTTAAGTGTTCAGTGCTATTGTCTCTTTCCCTTTAAAAATGTATGTACTTAATCAGGATCATACATCCTTAATTCTTATGAGCTTGTTAGGTCAATTCTGTTAAAATTTGATATAAGGTCAC